CTAAATAAAGATCTTTTGTTTGTAGTTTCCCTACCTGGCGTTCGGCATTAACGGGCCAAAACAAGGACTGGTCGAAGTCGGCAAACTGTGTCTGAGTAGGGTATATACGTTAAACTGCGGCATGGTATCTCAGTGGGCTAGCACTATAAATCGGCATCAGTCCGGACTAGTACAAGCAGCCACACACGCACGCACATACGGGCACGCACCACGCGATAATTCAATAATCTTTGACGCGACGTTCAACCCCATTTTCCCATACCACCTGGAGATTTTGAAATTATTCAGCTCACAACATTTCAATTGGAAAGAAAGCGAAAGTATCAAAGTGTTCTTCGCTGAGGGTAGATTGATTTAAAAGTCCGGCACCGCAGTCCAAGAGCTAATGGCGGTACAGTTCCTGTTCATGTGACGCCGCAGTCACCTTTATCACATCACCCATAAGCAATGTAGTTCGGACCAGACAAACCAGTGATTGATAATATGAGCAACGTCACATCGGGGTACTATGACACGCTGTCAACAAAGTCACCGACCCCCGAGACTGACCCCCGATCCATTTTAGTCACCCCTCAACAACAAGCCCAGGGGTCTAACCTTACCCGTGTCTCCAGAGAGACTTGTCCTTTTTGTTAATTAGCAGCTCTCAGAAGAGTATTTTTCCTTTTTTTCAATTCCAGCAGTAAAACGACAAGAGACGAAGGGAAAGGAAGTTATCTTTAATTTAGAATTATTCCACGAGAGACTTGCGTTTTTTGTTAGTTAGCAACTCTCAGAACAATAAAAAAAATTTTTTTTCAATTTCAGCAATGAAAACGCCAAGAGACGAAGGGAAGAGAAGATCTTTTTAATTTAGAATTGTTTCATGAGAGACTTGCGTTTTTTGTTAGTTAGCAGCTCTCAGAACAATATTTTTCCTTTTTTTCAATTTCAGCAATAAAAACGCCAAGAGAAGATCTCTTGTATTTAGTTACAAGTTAGTAGCTCTACGAACAGAATTGTTTTCCTCTCTTTCAATTTCAGCAATAAAAACGCCAAGAGTAGACGGAAAGAGAAGAACCGCTTTAACTTTGTACATTTATTGTAACTATTTTGCTTATTATTCAATGAAACACAAAGCAACTTATAATTCATATAATTATTACAATCTTTCTATCCTACTTATGTGAGACTAAAAATCTGTTTCGTTTTTTAGGGGAAAACGTGCAAACCATGTAAATGCATGAAAAGTGCTTATCTCTGTTTTCACGTATTGATATGAAAATCTTGATACACACTGTTTTAACACCATCGCCGTATTTAATATACTCAGCCTCAATAGAAAGGAAACGCGGTAGGATCAGTTTAACAAGACCCACAAACTCCCAACTCCCAGTGGCATACGTTTAATAGATTAAACACACTCCTTTGATCTAGAAACATTATCCAACTTTTAATTATCAATGATTAAACTCTTTAATCATATCCTGCTTGAGGTCCCTCCCCGAGTACGCCCGCACCTACCCCCTGCTGTGACCTTGACACTGAGGCAACGTCAAAAAGTAATTACGTTGACTTGATAAAAGACGAGCACGTTGGAGGAGCAACAAAGCCTTCTTCAGGAGTTTCTGATGCCACCGATGAAGTTACCTCAAACTCACTCGTCCATATAAATCGAGTTTGATAATCACTGTTCAGGGCTCGAGTATTTTATGTGTGGACCTGTTCGGAAAATTATATGTCATTGGTGAATGTTTGTGTTACCGTGTGTAGTATGTCTGTTTGGGGTTGAGTGAGTGTCAGCTGAGGCCCTCATCGAGTGTAAGATATATCTTCAGGTTATTCTGTTTTTCTAGTGATTTACTAGAATCTTTATGTAACAGAGCAGCTGTCAGGGTCCGCATTGTGACAACTGACCTTGCCTGGCCTTCAACTGATGACGTCAGTGAGTTGGGGTATATGCCGAGATAGCCGGAAGGTTAAGTCACGAGTTTCCTAATATTCAATCCAAGTGTTTGTATACTAGGCTGTAAGTGATATGCACATGTAGTTTCGGTTGTTTGGTTATTTAACACCGTATGTTGATAAGTTTGTGACCTATACAATTAAAACTTATATTTTTTTATTTTGTTTGTTGTTTAACGCCGCACTTAGCACTTATCCCAGGGATATGACAGCGGTCTGTCAATAATCGAGTATAGCCAGACAATCCAGTGATTGACATTATGAGCATCAATCTACGTAATCTTTCTGGGCGAAGAAAACCGGATAGGATGCAGACTTCACCAGTCTGGTGAAACCCACGAGCAAGGGAATGGTGCTGACTAACCATGGATCATAAACAGGGGGGATATGGGATTCGAACCTACATTTATAGGTATACCTAACGACACTAAGAATTACATAATTGGGACACTCGTCATATTCGTTAAAAACGTTAAAATATGAAAGTATAATTGTCCTGTACAAAAGGATACTGACAGAATTCACTCGTCACCTGCATGGTTGTGAGGGTTAGTGTGGTAGCCTAGTGGTTAAAGTGTTCGATCATCACGCCGTAGACCTGGGGTTGATCCTCATGGGCACAATGTGTGAAGCCCAATCTTGGCATTGCCCCCACTGGAGTGTTAGCTTCTGATGTCACTGCGAGACAAAGCTGTTGTAGAGACTCACATCTGTCTTGCACAGTGAAGCCCAGTTATTCTCCGTTAACTCACAGTGAAAATATCTGGACCAACGCGTCATTGGTTGGTAGTAATGTTCCCTTCATTATACAGACGTCCACAAACGTAACTGTCCGGGGGTTACCTTAACTCACAGTGAAAATAACTGGATTAACAAGTCAATGGTTGGTAGTAATGTTCCCTTCATTATACAGACGTCCACAAACGTAACTGTCCAGGAGTTAACTTAACTCACAGTGACAATAACTGGATTAACAAGTCATTGGTTGGTAGTAATGTTCCCTTCATTATACCGACGTCCACAAACGTAACTGTCCAGGAGTTACCTTAACTCACAGTGAAAATAACTGGATTAACAAGTCATTGGTTAGTAGTAATGTTCCCTTCGTTATACAGACGTCCACAAACGTAACTGTCCAGGAATTACCTTAACTCACAGTGAAAATAACTGGATTAACAAGTCATTGGTTAGTAGTAATGTTCCCTTCATTATACAGACGTCCACAAACGTAACTGTCCAGGGGACGAGGTTTGCGGATTAACGGGTTCCAAATGAACAGGTTCCGAGTTAACGAGGTTTCACTGTGTTTGAGTTACTTCACACAAGATTATTCATTTACAAGAGGACAATATTCTTGAGCACTGAACTACAGAAACTACCAGACTATCGTGTAATCACAAGGTGTTAAACTAGTTATTTGATAGAGCTATTTTCCCGTGAAAATATGACATGCGTGAAAAACATACAGAAACGAGTGCCATGCTTAATCAACAGCAGGAATGTAATATGTTGGAGAGTTACACGGAAATAGAAGGTGTTTATTAATTTCAACGTAATGTGCAAGCTTGTTGATATCACTTCAGCTGTTTCCATGACAGTATATGTGATGACATGGTGCGTCATTTGGAATGGGGGTTCACACCCAACACACCTACCCCACCCACGCCCACAGACACCCTCCACCACACCCACATACTGACACACATACACACGTTCACACCCCAAAACACCCTCCCCCACACCCACATACCAACACAGATACCAACGTTTACACCCACATGTTAACACACACATACCTACCCCCCCCCCCCCCCCCCACACACACACACACCCAAAGACACCCTCCACCACACCCACATACTGACACATATACACAAGTTCACACCCACACCTACATATTAACACACACACACACACACACACACACACACACACACACACACACACACACACACACACACACACACACACACACACACACCAACAGACACACCCCACCACACCCACATACTGACACATATACACACGTTCACACACATATCAACACACACACATATCAAAACACACACACCTACACCACCCACACACACTAACACCCTTCCCCCACTAGAAGATGTTAAAAGGTGGTACTTGTTGTTACCCTGTCTGGCGCTCACCGACACCCTCCGCCACATCACATACTGCTACATATACACACATACCCAAGTTCTGCCTCCATTCCTATTCTCCAAATGTTAACCCCCCCACCAATTCCACTACCCACAGGTGCTCACCCACGAGACAGATGTGATAACTCATGAGATTCCGAGAGTTTACGAGAATTGACAATTACCACAGTCAAGTTTCGCTCCATCCTATCCCCATACATCTACTCTTACAATCACCACCGTCTACCAGCCCCTCCCCTCCCCTCCTCTCTCCTCACCCCCAGGGGCGGCCAGCTGACCACATGAGTGTTGTATTGGGGTCTGGGGATTACCAAAGGTGCCAGGTCTTGCTAACGACCGTGTCAAGACTTTGCCTTGCACCATTATTCCCCAATATATCCTCGTTAATTCGCCATCGAGTAAACACTTGGACTTTGATGAGCACTATCTGCTGACGGACACAAAGGTATAGCACAACTGGGTATAGATAAGAGCTGGCGATGAGCAGGGAGCTGATTTGATCCGCAACAGGAACACCGATTGCCCAATAGATAAAAGCAGAGGAGGGGTCTTCTCATGACATCAAATGTTTTTATTGTAACAATTCTCTTTATCCGGGGGGGGGGGGGGGGGGGGGGGGGGGGGGGGCACGGGTGGCCCAGTCGTCTAAGGCGCCGCGATTCGCTGTGCAGAGTTGCGTCCCTTGGGCACACCAGAAACCTATGATTGTGAGTTCGAATCCCGGTTCGCCCCGATTATGTTTCTAGGTTTGTCGTGGGTTTCATCGAAGTGGTAAACGTCTGAGACCTGCATCACTTCGGGCTTTCCTCCCACATTAAGCTGACACCCCGTGATATAACTGGAATACTGTTAAAAGCGACGTTAAACCCAACTCACACACTCACTCACTTTATCCGGCATTTTGTAGATACATTGTCCCTCATCATTGGCCGACCCCCAGATCATATTTTTTCGCTTATCGTTTGCATGCACAGTTGGATTCCGTTCCGCTTTTTAGTGCGATATTGATGTCAACGTTTGTTCTTTTGACTTCTCATTAATATATATTGCCATCTGCCTTGAGAAACAGATGACAAGCACCATTTTCAGATCAATCGGTACAATGAACAACAATGAATGATTTGAGCAGAAAATTACAAATGTTATCAAAACGTTACTGACCGCCTCTGTGGGCTAGCGGTAGAGCGTCTGCCCGGAGAGCGGAAAGTCCGGTGTTCGATCCCCGGCCGCGTCATACCAAGAGACGTTAAAAAATGTTACTTATTGTCACCCTGTCTGGCGCTCGGCATTAAGGGGCTAAAACAAGGACTGTTCGGCTCGGAGTCAGTATACTGTGTCTCAGTGGGGTATTCATGTTAAACTGCGACATGGTATCTCAGTGAGCTAGCTCTTTAAATCAGCATCAGTCCGGACTTGTACAAGCAGCCACACACACACACACACACACACACACACACACACACACACACACACACACACACACACACACACACACACCATTTCTTGTTTGTTTAATTTTCAGCCACCATCAAACATAGATGTATACTTGTGACCATTATTGTTATATGTTGACCGTTCACAAATTAATACTGCGTTCTTATTCAACTAACATATATTTGACGATACATTTATAAATAGGGTTAATCCTATCAAAGATATCACGGGGCTTTTCACGGTCCACGGTACATTACTCCGATTTCAAATACCAGGATATCCAGAAACTTTTGAGACGACCCCCGTGATAAACAGACGACGGCAGCAGACGACAGTGTCTCAATTACCTGTTGGTGAAGTTCAACAGAAACGAGCAGAAGTTACGGGCTAGAGGCAAGCTATTACAAGGAAGAGCGTCTGGAGACAGATCGGCGTAACTTGCTTTGTGACTGATTACAGTTTTATGAGCAAACTGTAATGGCAGATTTTGCCAGATTAACCTTAATTTATTTCAGTAAAAAGAGGAGGACGACCAGATTTGGACTGTAATGTTACGGTTGTAATTGTACAGTGTGTTTGTGCACCAATCGCTCCATTCATGGTCTGTTGACAAAAAGCTGTGTTTAATGTATATTTTAGTTGAATAAGACGGCCATTACAATGCTAATGTGATCTCGGTGTTTGATTTGAGTTCATGACAAGACAATGGGGGATTTAAGTGGAGGTCGTAGGCGTCAGTTCCACAGTGGTGGATCAAGGACTTTGTTAAATTGGGTCCACATTTGGGGATTTGACAATCACGTACGGGATCACAGATTGACATACGGTCTTGACTATTGGCATCAGAACCTCTTGCGTCGCCGGCACACACCCCTGTCTGAAAAAAATCTTAATTTCTCAAGTTTATTTTTTTACGGTTTTGTATAATTATGTTTTAATCTAGTTGTTGATTGTTTTTACTTTCCTTTATTGTGTGTAAGTGAATGTATGTTTTTGGCACGAGGTTTGTCCAACAAGAGCTGCTGGTTCATTATGCATGTTGAGTGTATCTGTCCAAAGACAACTCAGAGAAATCTGTGGTGTAGCATTGTGGACAATAAACTCTTCGACGTGATTTATATATTCCATAACTTTTACAAATTTGAAGAAGCAGGGCTTTAACCCTTTTATAATTATAATATTAATGTGTCTCTTTGCTGCTATTACAAAATGATTTAGAAACTTGTTGGTAAGCCCTCCCAGAAGAATTTCTTTCTTAGTAAACTGAATAATATGTCAATCACTTAATAACTGTATTAGATCTTCCCAAAAGTTGTTGACAATTGTATATTGCATATATTTTCTTTTGCTATTCCACAGAATGAGCAGGTATCGTTGTCGACGAGATTCATTTTTAACAATTCTCTTTTAGTGTAAATAATTTGTAAGAGTTTGAATTGAAAATTTAGTAATTTGGTTTCCTGCCTGCTTTTTCTATGTTGCAAAAACGTTTGTCCCAAATGTATATTATTATTTAGCTCCGTTTCCCATATCTCGCACACTGCTGGTAGATTTGGGATAAAGACCTTGTGAATTGCATACATCTTTATATTCCCTTCTGATAACAGTGATTGATTACGAAATCGGAGTATTTTAATTAATGAGTCAGTCCCAGTGGTTGAATAAAGACTTCATTTATGTTTTCATCGTTTAAGATAAAATTCTGTAATGTATTTTTACCAAGCACCCAGAGCGTCTTTCCCAAAAGGATTGTCAACCTGAAATTGTTTCCAAATATTACCACATCTTTTACAGGGACGCCACAAAGGTTATAGGTTGGATGTTTGAAAGGTGTCGTTTAAGAGCAGATATCTTAAAGGAGTCAATAAAAGTTCTAACATTTATCATTCTAAGTCCACCCTCTACATATTTCCAAGTTAGATTCATTTGGGTTTTTTAAATTTTATCCTTCTTATCATTCCATATAAATTTAAAATGTACACCGTTTATCGCTTTCGTAAATTCTTTAGGAGGGTTTGGGAGAGATATTAGTATATGAACTAGTGTTGAAAATGCCAATGTTTTAATTATAGTATTTTTGCCAATTAAAGCAAGGTTTAGTTTTTTCCAATTTAGAAGAATTCTTTTGATTGTTTCAATACGTTTTCTGGTGTTTATCACCCACAGATCTGTTCAATTGGGATTTAGTGTAATTCCTAATACTTCAAAACCTCCATTATACCAGTCTAAATTTAAGTCTTGATTGGGATTTCGTTGACTTCCTGCCATTGATCCTAACTTGTATAACGTCTTTATGGCTTCGTTAAGAGAGGCATCAGAGCCTTCTAGAAATAATTCAATATTGTCGGCATACTGTCCTAGTTTATGTTCTGTGTCATTTAAGGTAATTCAATGTAAATGGTTATTTGTCCTTATCATAATACCTAATATCTCAAATAAAAATAAAAATAAATAGGGTGAAAGTGGATCTCCTTGTCTACAGGCCCTTTGTTCAAAACAATTTGATAGGTGTCCATTTTGTATAATACAAGAGGTGGAAATCAGAATATTGACCCATCTTTTTTACCGGATCTAATTTTTTCTAACACCAACATTATGAAACGCTTGAGAACTGTGTCGAATGTTTTTTTTCAAAGTATATCAATAGTAATAAACCTTTCTTGTTTTGCCTTTCAGTTTCAAACAAAATATTATATAATAACCTCATATTTTCTCTTATGCATCTACCAGGAATAAATCCGGTCTGATTATCATGAATTAGAGCATTTAAAGTTTGTTTAATTCTATTTTTTATGCAAGCACTTATTACCTTGTACAGAGCACTTAATAACGATATGGTTCTCCAGTTTTTCAGCAGGCGTCTGTATTTATTTGGCTTCGGGATACATGTAAAACGACCGCCTCCGTGGTCTAGTGGTAGAGCCTTCGCCCCGGAGAGCGGAAGGTCCTGGGTTCGATCCCCGACCGCGTCATACCAAAAGACGTTAAAAGATGGTACTTGTTGTCACCCTGTCTGGCGCTCGCCATTAAGGGGCTAAAACAAGGACTGGTCGGCTCGGAGTCAGTATACTGTGTCTGAGTGGGGTATTCATGTTAAACTGCGGCATGGTATCTCAGTGAGCTAGCACTATAAATCGGCATCAGTCCGGACTAGTACAAGCAGCCACACAAACACACACTCGTACATGCACGTCGCTATATAAGTGCAATAATCTTGGACGCGACGCTAAACCCCATTTCACCTCACCTCATCTCACATGTAAAAACTCCTCATAACTCCTCAGTTATCGTCATATTTTCAGGTCTTTCCAGATAAACTTAAACAATTCTACTGAAAATCCATCTTGACCAGGACTCTATGTTTCACAGACTTAACTTGTGCTATTTCATTCAATTCTAATTTGGAATTCAATTCCCTTTCCAAATTCATCCGAAATTTCTTTACTTAAAATGGGGTTAAAACACTTTTGTAATATACAATAGCTGTCTTCGTCTATGTCGACAGTGGCTGTATATTATTTCTTACAAAAACCTTCTTGTTCATTTATTATCTCGCGACCATCAGTATTTTCTTTGCCATTATCCTTTATGGTATTGTTCATACGTTTATTAGTGTAATTCCTATTTTCTGAGTGACAAAAGTAATGTGTTGGTTTTTCACCTTCTTTATGCCGGGGCGGTCGGGTAGCCTAGTGGTTAAAGCGTTCGCTCGTCACGCCGAAGAACCGGGTTCGATTCCCGACATGGGTACAATGTGTGAAGCCCATTTCCATTATCATAAGACATCTCTATGGAAGCAGAGTCCATTGTATGATTCCGACTATATCATAGACATGTGTTTATGAATCACTACTAAATAGTGATAATACCAGGAGTTCGCGAATAGGTGAACGTATAATGCTGCACCGGTGTCATCCGCCACAAACACACGCAAAGGCAAGTCAACTTGATAACAGTGTTAGAACCTACACCGAAACGTCGCTCCTAATTGTAATAAAGAAGTTGTTTATCAATATATCTTATCCTTGCCTAGTACTCCAACTTCAAAATGCCTCTCAAATAAGTTACAAGGAAATATAATGGTAAAAGTCAAAATATCAATAGTTGACATCAACATCACACTGTATACCAGATAGTTAAATACTGAAAGTCAAACACAGTTGTGTCGAACTTTGATGTGTCGAACTTACGGTTGTCCCGACGTAAATGCTCGGTCAATGCATATTCCTTCTTCATTTATCTTTATTTAACCTCTTGTGTTTTTAATCGGATGTGTCGAAGTAATTTTCCAGTTCCAAGTAAGTACTTCCAGCACAAATATACTCTGTACTTTGATAGAGTCAATCTCGTCTCGACTCATAGGTCATCACGGTTCAATCAATGAATGTTGGACATTTAATTTAATTTTCTCGAAGTTTGTCGCGTACGTTTCGTGTTACTCATTCATCATGTATGCCAAGTTCATTTTTCGGTTGTATCGAACCTCGGATAACTCGAGTATATTTTCGTAGGTTTCTCTAACCTCGATACAACGGTGTTTGACTACTTTACTATCATTATTTATCCGTTATGTGGGTTAAGAGCTGCTTTTAGCCAAATTCCAGCAATATCGCAACCGGGGACTCCACAAATGGGCTTCACACATTGTAACATTGTGGAGATCCGAACCAGTTCCAAAACTTCGGCACAAATCGTGAAGAAATGGGGCAGAATGTTCCAGTTACAGAAACTCGCTGTGCAGAGATGCGTCCCTTAGGTGTGCCACCTCACGGGTTCGAATCCCCTTCTCAGCCTCATTATGTTTCTCGGTTTGTCAGCACCAGACCGTGCTCGTGGGTTAAACAAAATGTTAAACGACTAAGACCCGCATCTCTTTGGGCTTTCTTCCCGTGAAGATACAGTTTGGAACTGATCATCAGCAACCCATGTTTGTCGTGAGAGGCGACTAACGAGTGGTCAGGCTCGCTGACTTGGTTGATGGATATCATCGTATCCCAATTGAGTAGATAGATGCTCATGGTGTCAATCACTCGATTGTATGGTCCAGAAACGATTATTAACAGGCCGCCGTAACATAGCTGGAATATCCACTGAGCGCGGCGTTAAACAAACAAATTAAAAACTTTCCTCCCACGGTTGACGCGCTTACATACAACAGTAACTGTTGATCCCAACTCACTCACGCTCTGAAGGTCAAGGGCACGCCAGAAACCTATGATTGTGGGTTCGTATCCCGGTTCGCCCCGATTATGTTTATAGGTGTGTCAGCACCATACCCGTGCTCGTGGGTTTCACCGAAGTGGTAAACGTCTGAGACCTGCATCACTTCGGGCTTTCCTCCCACATTAAGCTGACACGCCGTCATATAACTGGAATACTGTTAAAAGCGGCGTTAAACCCAACTCACTCACTCACTCACTCTGAAGGTCAAGTGGAGAACGCCGATTAATATCAACAAAGGAATTTGATTCATTTCAGCATTTTAATATACAAAAATATACAATATATTATGCATTCAATACTCTTGTCAACAATGAAAGACAGTCAACAATATATACACCATAAACAATACGTAAATATGAGCGATAGCATGGTTATACTTTGATAAATAGCTACTATTAAGTTACTAGGAATGTGACGGCTGGTTGTCTGTACATTGTATTAACAACTGTCATGGATATATTTAATGCGATGGGTGCAATATATATTCATATACACTGAAAGACATGACATAACATTGACTAGATGGCAGATGGAGAACGACCCCAGGGACAGAATAAACTCTGTAACCTCTTGTAAGGGTTCGTCTATAGACAACGACAAAACGGAAGTGTAACCAATTGTTGTCATAGTGCGGTTACGACCTGGGACTGGGATCTGTCTATAAACAAAGACAAAACGGAAGTGTAACCAATTGTTGTCATAGTTCGGTTACGACCTGGGACTGGGATCCGTCTATACACAAAGACAAAACGGAAGTGTAACTAGTCGTTAATTTTGGTTACGAACTGGGATCCGTCTATTCACAAAAGTGTAACCAGTTTTTGTAATAGTTCGGTTACGACTGGGGCTGAGATCCGTCAACAGACAAATTCTCGAGGTACGACAACGTTTGCGGACAAGATGCACTATATCAGTTTAAATGGAATGTCTCGTGGATGCTACGATTTTTATCTGATGTCCTTTTAAAATCCTTGAGCAATCAAACTTGGCCAGACTGGACGATGTGAAACAGCAGACCCAAGATGCATTGTGGGTTCCTGACTTGCGAAGTAATGTCTTCCGGTTGGGAGAAACTGGGGACTACCAAAACCTGGATAGGAACTATGAGACGGAATCTTGCCGAATGGGACGAAGCTGAACGATGGCATGGGTTGGTGCTGCATCTGGAAATCCGTTGAAGGGGAGGATACAAAATGTGGACTTGGTAACGAAGTGCGGAATGCGGAATTGAGCTGCATGTTGGATATCGAATGTGAGAGTCCTTGCTGAGGATTTTGGACAGGGCTGACTTTTCTTGACTTGGGTTTGTTGTCATCGCTGGTCAGTTTTGAGATGCTGAAGTCCGATTTAGGGGATGTTTTCTTGACCTTCTCTGGTGGGGATGAAGCGGAGTCGTCGCGACAGGGGAGGCACAGGCCGTTCATGACGGTTCCGCTGGCAGTCAAGTACATCTGGTCACATCGCGTACAGATCTCTTTATCATCACCTGGAGGAAGGAAGGAAGTTCATATATTAGAGTGAGTCAATGGGTGAGTGAGTTGTGTTTAACGCCGCTTTGAACAGTATTCACGGCGTGACAACTTAATGTGGAAGGAAAGCTTAAGTGATGTAGATCTGTGACGTTAACTACTTTGGCGAAATCCACGAGCACGGGTATGATGCTGACAAAATCAAGAAACATAATCGGGGCGAACAGGGTCATATCTTAGAGGGGGAGTGGGAAACATAGAATGGACCGGAATATTAAGATCGTCTTCTCGGGGCGGTCAGTCAGTTAAGGTTTGGGAATTTGATGTGAATATACGTTTTAAAATAAATTGTTTAATAATTGTGTTTTGCTCTTCACGGAATAATTATTTACCTTCATGCGTCTTCATGTGAGTCTTCAGGTTACACTGCAGAGCAAATCTCTTTCCGCATAGGGTGCACTCGTGAGGTTTGTCCCCTGGAAATCAAAAATCGGTCACATTAAGACAATACCAAGATTTGTTATGAATTATTTTTACGAGACATCCATTAACAGAAGTGTACAGAAGCATAAATTCTCTGTATATTTCCTCAATATTTGCCATGCACATGATAATTACGGATACACCACACAGAAAACTACTGAGATTCGAACCCGTACCTGTATGCAGCAGAAGGTGGTTCTTGAGGTTGGTCTGTTTGCTGAAGCCGCGGTTGCAGACTCCGCACTTGAAGGGCCAGGATCCGTTGTGGACGTACATGTGTGAGCGGAGGTCCCCGGGGGTAGGGAATGACTTGGAGCACATGGTGCACTTGTGGGGTTTCTCCTGGAGACAGAAACATGAAGACATTGTCACACAGGTCCTTTTTGACATTTAGCATCCCATCGGTAAAGAGAATGAATGAGTTAAGATTTACGCCGCTATTATTATTATTATTATTATTATTACACATGTGAGTCGAGACCGGGTTTCGGTGTGCCGAGCTTTCTCTTTAACCACTAGGCTACAACACAAGAAGGGTCTGGAAGGGGCATCATATAAAATACAACTTCGATCGATCGTAAAAATTCGTAATGTGTCTGGATTAAGGAGGTTCCGCTTTATAGAAAGGCCTAGAGTTGTGACGTACCTTGTTGTGCGTCATGCGGTGGTAGTATAGGTTGGAGGAGGCGGTGAAACACTTCCCGCACACCTTGCACTGATGGGGCTTCTCGCCAGAGTGGATGCGACGGTGCGTGTTCAGTGATGAGGACGTGGAGAATGCCTTGCCGCACACGTCACAGGCGTGAGGCTTCTCACCTGGAATACAGAGGTACCGATTACACAAGCTGTTATGGAATGTGGGTTTTGCGAAATAACAATTAATCAAAAGCTTGCGTTGCGTTACTTAATGCCGTCAGTATGATCAGTAAAATTGCTGACGTTGTAAGTTTCCAATTGCTGAATTGTTTCAATTTGCTTTATGACATTTGCTCAAATGATTGCGTTGCGTTACTTAATACGGTCAGTATGATTCAGTAAATTTGCTGACTCGGTATTTTTAAATTTGCTTTATATAGAATAGACCTACATGTGTGCCTGCGATGTTAAAAATTTACGACAGTCGTATAATTCTAATAATAGTATTGTAATACCTGTATGAGTTCTCATATGGCGTTTCAGCAGAGAAGGTCTGTCGAACTTTTTGCCACAGACTTCACATGGCAGCCATGTCCTTTCACGGTTTCTCTTCACCGGAAGTTGAGATTCGGGTGAAACGGAAGTGACGTCACGTGGAGTCGATGTGAGGGGAGAAATCTCCTTTGGTCCCTGTGGGCGAAGATTAATATTTTTAAAAAACCGTTTTCGATCAATTTTTATTTAATACAGATTTTTTTATTATTTCAATTTAATTAAAGTTGGCGATTTCTGACAATAGTGTTTGTTTAACTTACGGAATATGTAGAGCTGACGTCATCACTGGAGGTGACGTCACTGCCAGCAGATCGGCAATCATCGTCTCTCCCGAGTGGTGACGAAGTCGTGTGGGTGCTCGGCGAACAGATAGGGGAGATAACTTTGACTGGTGAGGGAAGTCTTGGCAGGGGGGATATCACTCGTTCTGGTTCTGTGGAAAAAAAGAAATACAAGAACTTTAGTATACAGTACAGTTTAAAAGAGAAATATAAGAAATTATATATCTTTAACACACGCACCTGTTTAATATAAAAAAAATTGCAAGCATTAGAAAATATATGTACCTGATTTGAATGATTCGCTCTCGGAGCTACAGACATCTACTGGGGAATCGCTCTCGACGTCCATACTCTCTTCTTTAATCTCACGTTCCGGGGTTGTGTCTTTTGGTTCAGGAACATCGAAGAACGCAACGATCTCATCATTCGGTCGAACCGGTTTGACGATCTTAAAGACGGGCTCTCCTTTTTCTAATGTGCCAACGATGTTGACATCAGCTGGATTCTTAGACGCTTTGACAAACCGGATCCAGTTGCAGTGCCTGACCTCCCTGGTGTCGACCTCTTGAATTACGTCATAGCATCCCAACGTACGTCTCACCTGAAAAACAATACGCTTAACATGTCACCCTATGTTTCAACTCTTTAAAAGTAAATTTCCTTTTTGAAAACTATTCGTGTTGGGGTAATCATTCATTGCTAAATACCCGCCATCTAAAATTAGTCCTAACGGTTTCAAATGGAAATTGTCGGCCCTTTGATGACTTAATAATAACTTGAAAATTCTAATATCTTCCGCCATTCGTCCGAATCAGACCTCAGAAGATTGAGAAGCAGATGGACAAGGGAAATGGGCTCCTCGAGTTTCAACCTTTGACCTCTCTTATACAATACTGAGTCAAACACTATTCAACAATCTGATTAGTCCGCTAAGAGTGTGAATGGGCCGAGGCCGAGGTGGCTGAATTAGAGGCTGAGCCTCACACAAGGCCCGGATTGAATAACGCCGACCATTACGTTACGCCTCAAAGCGACAACATGTCTCAAAGTGTGGTCATTCTTGGTCAACAATGGCCATCGCGCCCTAATCAATTACTAGGCGGGATTGTATTCAATCACAGCGCGTGCACTTTGTTATTATGCCGCGACGAAATTTCCGGCTGCTCGCACGTGCCGCGTAGTGATACAATTCAGAGCGGACAATTACACAGTTTTAAGCTGAAAGGAGTTTTATGTCGGGGCGCGAGCCGCGTTTAAGGGGTATAATCTTGATAATTGTGATAATGATTACCTTGTACATATTTCTAGTGAGGTAAATGTTGAAGTGATAGAATGTTACGAGTGATAATGACATAGGAGAGACATTTGGTAACATCACTGAGAGAAGATTGCGACTTGCAGGAACAATGGCAATAACACCTTGTTGATGACTGACATTACTATCACTGATTGATCTATTATCGATACCTATAAGAATAGTTAACCAATTGATGAAAAGGCTTCGGTCAGTAACACTGTTGTGAAGTTAACGTACCACTAAATTATTTTTTAAGAAATTCGGGGGAAAATTCATTCCAATGCTGTTGACAAACAATGAAGTTTATCACACCGATTTTAGTCTACAGGGTAAACATTTTTATTACAGGCGTCCCACTCAAAGTGTCTAAATTAGTTTAATATGGAAAATATACTATTTTGTAATAAATGTACAACGTTCAGGTACAGAGCTTTCTTTGTAGCATTTTTAACAAAGAATTATTGTGTTTCAGAAAACTGATACCCAGGCGCCCCTTGCCGTATCGAATCGAATTTGGACTGGTTATGGTCCCATGCTGCGATCAAGACGGTGCGCCTGTCGTGCTGGCATGTTTATAATGCTGGCGCAGCTTGATTCGGGTCGTGAACAATTTCTTGGACAAATTCACACCCTAGGGATTGCGGCGGAGGGTTGCTACAATTGTATATTTTTCCTTGGGGGAATATTTCAGAAAAACAAAAGAATGCAATTCGGTGGAATTTAGTGATAAAGAAACGATTTTATCAATTTATGGGGTTACTTTTTACAATGACGAAAAGTTGAGTTAAATTTTAATTGCAGATATATATATATATATTTTTTAAATAATCGTTTTGTACAGAAATATTTGTCAGTGTAAGGATTCATATCCTTTCAGGTAAGTCAATATCAACTGTTCCCAAATGTATCACCCCTCCCCGCTCCCCTCCCTTGAGACACCCTATAGCTCCTGTAGATTTCCCTCACCCCAGGCCAATAGTATCTCACTTCTGCACTATTGCGTCATGCTAAGATATCCTTGTGCAGTCAAAATAGCCGACCAAATAAACAAAATCTGCTCTAGCATAAACTGTGATGTCCCAAGAGATTTCAAATTCCAGTAGCTGATTAAGATACATTAGTTTCAATTAGCCTAGAATGTATTTGTTTTCAATCGAAAATGACATCGCACCGGGGTGTGACAAGGCGCTGTTCTTACTCTTCATCTTTTAAATTCGGAACAATACATATCGCGCAGTAAAATCGTAAAATGTGGTCAATTCGTTTCAAATTATTATATAGAGATGTCTTTAAGAGACTTAAGATCTGTAGTGTCAATGGCGACATGATTGAATGATGGGTGGACATCTCTTTCTTGCCACCCAAGATAAAGACACTACTATCTGACACGAAACGTCAGATTTGAACAAAAAAATAGCTGAAATATCGTCAAGATATGAATGTTTGTTTACGCTCAGTTGAAATAAATACCTAGCAAAACCAGTCTTGTAAGTTCGTGTGGACCTCGTGCGGAGTCGATTCCCGATCGGGATAAACCCTTGACACAACACGACTCCTTATAAAAACTGACCGATCAACTACCTACACTACATACAGCGCTATCACACCTCGTAACACAGAGCTAATCACTGCATTGTCAATATTGTTTGAACAGGTAACAATGCTGTCACAGCTGATAGAGAACGCGTCACTGGTTATGAGGATTTAAGTATGCATTCCCGCTGCGATTCCGCAGTTCGTTGGATATTTTCACTTTTTGTATAAACACATCCCCTGCGTAGATATATCGGATGTGTTATTCTTGCAAGGCTATACGATCTGAAGGGAGATTAACTGAGGCTATTTTCTCACGTTCAAAAATGTTTTCAGTGAATGGATATCGATAAGGATAATTATGCACGTGTTTTTTTTGTCAAAATGAAACATCAAACCACTGCACCTGTACTGTGTTTTGTAATTACTTTTATATTGCTGCAGGTACGTGGTAATATTTTGTCTGTAACAATCAACGCTAATAACAATTGCACAATAAACGAAAATGTGTACCAACAAAAATAACACATGACTTTACAAATAAAGTAGAACGATGTATACATGTTTTTTTTAAGAATCCAACGAAACTCGGACTGGCATACTTCGTTACATAAAAAAATCTTCTATAATGATGTTGAATTTGGGACTGCCTGTTTTAATCATATCCCCGATGTTAAGATACTACGCTGACTCACGGACCTATTATACAAGTCCGTGGTTGACTATAAAGGTGCCTGATGGATGTATCAAGTTATTTCTAATTGATCGTCCAGTGTTGTTACAGTGATAACCTAACCGAGACCGTGAACCCTATCTTCCGGAAATGTTTTCTTATCTACACTGCAGACTTCCTACTTTCATACCAAAGCTGGCGTTTTATGTAACGATCCCCGGAGACGAGTGTCAGTTCTTGTGACTAAATCTCATACTTAACACCAGGCAATACTGAGGAATGTCACGATAATACGATGAATCGATTCCCCCAAACGTTACAGCAGTTGAACATAACAATGAAGGAAAGAAGCGACAGCCCTGTTGTACCCCACTTTAGAAAATTAAACATAAATTAAATTAAGAACTATATTTTTCTGATATATATTATATATTTTGACATATGTTTTTTTCTGATACATTCTTTTTCTGATTTATTCTTTCTTTTATCAGTTTATTTTCCAGACGACCAAAGTTCACTTTGAACTAATTATTCATGTGGTAAAACTACACATTGCCGTGTTAACTGATATAAAACCTTGTATGATAGCTGTTGTCCCGTGCAAGATTCAAGTTCAGTTTCAGAGGAGGTGTAACATGTGTTCGATGGGGATTATATAAAATAAGCTCTTTAATGAGGAACAATCACTGACGGCCACTACTGCATCTGTTTCCCTCCTTGAAGGAAGTACGCACAGACCATGTGGTCACCAGATGGCTATGTACCTATCTTTGATATACTCAAGTCTCACAACTAGGGTGCTTATCCCTACATGGCGCTAAATTACATTTAATTTTACATTTGACTTGGCCAACAATCAGGTATACGACATGATTATATGACGTGACCTCGAAATCTTCTTCTAGAATGTCGAAATAAAGCATTGAATCTATGTAAAAAAATCTGCATTCGACAAAAATGCATTGTTAATTATGAAATATGAATTATTTATTATCCTGCATCTTATGAGTACTTCTTGCAGAGTGAGTGAGGATAAAATGATGATGATATATCTATTCGTCACATTTATCTATTTAATTTTGTGGCTACAGAAAGACAAAGTTATAGTTACAGGTAGAACTAGTTTGTTTTAGTGTCACATGCCAGTAACTATGTATTATGTACCAGGTAAATTACATAAAGATTTATTAAAACTGAAACCCAGCCATATATCAGCTTACGATACTTAAAACTCTCAGTAACAGCATAAAATAGAATAAATTAATTATATACTCATATACAATCATACATGTCTCGGCTGTTCAAAGAAAATATCAAACTACAGTAAGTATGCTCCAAATTATCACATGTATCTATTTTATAGTATTTTGCAGTTAGGAGGTAATAAAACCTTATATGACTACTGTGCGTTTGCGTCAAGAGTAATTACTATAAGGCTCTGCAGTACATCAGAAATCAATTAGACCCATCTAGACAATCAGACACTATCAGAGATATAGAAGCGTTTAAGGAAGGTGTAAAACTATTCACTTATACGGGTAGGTTGTTACCGTGGCTCGTTAGGGTGGCCAAAGGTATATGGACACTCATGTATTGTTAACATGGCATTTTACAGGGACTAGTAATTTTCTGGCATCGTTAGGGCAATTTGTGACAATCGAGCATTGAGGAAACAAAATGCTGGACAATTAATCAAATACTTGGGGAGTTCTTTATGAGGCCCGATTGACTTAAGACTGAATAGAAAACTGTCTGTTTTTCCCAATTAGGGGGATAGGGGTCGTCCCGATTGGATTTAGTTCTGCCTAAGTCGTTAGTTTAGAGATTTAGGAGTGGTAGATGGGCGTGGAAATGAATAAAAGAGGAAGGAAACCCACTGGGAATCTTTAAATAAAAAATATATACAAATATGCATGTTTTATTCTAGTGCCATAATGAAAATATTTTATGACAGTTTAACTTTGAAGCATTGAAACAAAATGACCTTTCATACAAAAAATACCGTTTATACGGTCATTTTTAGTATAAAATGAATAACAATTATGTTTAGCTGTGGCATTCGCTTTAAGAAAAAATGACGAAGGATTTATATCCATGAAGAAAAGTTGTTTTTTAAAACAAAGTGTATATACATGTTATATATAAGCAGGAAAACCGTATGACCTATGAGAGTATTATATGGACAAATGAAAACCCCGTCATCTATTAAAGTATCCATTTTGATATGCATGTATATGAAAGAAATGATTTAAAACTTACGTCTTTCTTGTCCAGCACAGAATATATCTCCAGTTTGTCGAGTTTGACATGTCCCTCGTCAGGGTAGAAGGACGTCCCCGGGCTGAGGTGCACGTTACTCCAGACGGACACAGACATCTCGAGGATGTTCTTGGGGTTGGGATGGAGCATCAACACAAGTCCAAAGTCACGGGGCAGCAACACACACGAATCCATGATTGACAAATATTTCAAAACTTTTGAAAAGTTTTCAAAAAGTTTCCAAAGTTCTCACACTGACATTAACGAGGTTTTCGTTGCTAGTCCAAGACTTTCAGGCACATGTGGAATTGGTTCCAATCAATTGATTGAGAAACTTGGGAAGGTTTGACAGTTGGAGGAGTAATGTTTGCTTGTGATGCGGTGACCACACTGACCTCTGCTCGGTCCTGGGGAGGATTTGTAGGAACGTGACCTTACGTAATCCTGCCTGCTGATTGGTCAACCGGCGGGGGACCAGTGACAGCTATGTCCCCCGCAATGATGACCAATGGACAATTTGGAGGCATCGCGTCTATTCGTTTTCCAAGGCAGTTACCTCCCTTTCGGTGTTGAAACCAGTTGCCGTAGTGGTTTTAGGGGGGTGTATTCAAGTTAACACATACTTCGGGGATGCGCCACAGGAAAGAAAAATTGACATGCATTAGGAGAAACTTACACCAATTGGACACGGTCACGTGAGGTACACAAATGTCAGATGGTGGTGTTATTGTTGCTTATTCTATGGTGGTGAATTATCGGCTCTTCACGGATCTGCATCTCTATCAAATCCCCATCCATTACGACATAAATCCACATGATACTGCACCCAATTGTCTTATATTTACAATTGGACATTTACCAAATGTCAAATTAATGTACTTTGCTGGAAATAACAATCTATATACTTTGAATGACAAATCCCATATCCGCACTATTGAAATAGCGTACATTTTTATGCACTTAATGCCAACTTTACTTTCTTAACTTGAATTAATGGAATTATACATTGTTTGTTAACACATTGGTGATTATCATGTGAAGGAACGCTACGTGTGCGGCCGAGAAAAGAATACGCTTTTCCTGAAACAAACCTTCAGCTGCAAAGTTAAAAATCTATATTGGCATAAATCTAATAAAAATGAAATGAACATAATAAACTACAAATTTAATTCAATCAATTTACAATACGTTTTTAATGTCATGAACGAATTTCTCTGGATTTCACAAGACTTTTGTTTGTTGTTCTCCGACAGTAATATAGTGTTGTTGTTTTTAAGAATGTTTAACATTCTAACCTCATGGAAAAGGGTGCAAGTAATACAAGCATGAACAAAAAGCAAATTTAACATGATATTCACGACAAATTACCCTTTGCTAACATTAAAATTGTTGTTAATTTTACAACACCATACAACCCAAACTGTACTTGGAGAACTATTTTAGGCAAGTTTTATCGGTGTTGGTGGAGAGTTTTATTGTTATTATGGAACATGCTATGCTATGCTATGTGCACGTACAGACTGCACCTAACACGTTCTATCTTTGTAAATACCTCGTAGCCCCATTCAGAGACTTGGCCAGTGGAGACTGGGGTAAGAAATGAATTTGCAACCACATGACCACTACCACGACAATGTTGTAAATTTGTAAAAAAGTAACTTTATTGATTTTTCAAAGATAAAGTATCTAATAAATCCTTCAGCAGTTGGGAATTATGCAAAACAATTTTTTAAAGTTTTAACTCAAATAATTTTGTTTTTAAATTTAACCAGGTCGAAATATTCGATAAAGTGATGACAAAGCGCCAGTACAGTTCTTTTTGGGATGTAATGTCGATAACGTAAGATATTTTCAATTCAAAATGAAATATATGAAAAAATCAAATAGATGTTTAGTTTCTTGTGGCCCTCAGTTTATTAAGTCCCTTTTTCCAATCCTTTCGACTTTTAAATCAATATGTTAAAATGAAATCAAATAGAGCAAGCTACGATATAGAGAAACATTAGTGTAGATGTATATATTTTTTGTCATACTTGATTTCAGAAGTGTCACGATCTCGTTGAGTGAGTATGGTTTTACGCCGCTTTTAGCAATATTCCAGCAATATCAGGGCGGGGGACACCAGCAATGGGCTTCACACATTGTAACCATGTGGGGAATCGAACACGGGTCTTCGGCGTGACGACGAACGTTTTAATCACAAGGCTATCCGACCACCCACGATCTCGTTGAATGTGGAATTTATAATTATGGTCAATTTGATTTTGTTAACATTTATATTATTGTGAATACTTTTTGAGTTGTTACTTATTGAAAAGTGACTGTAATATCATTATAATTCTTATAGCACACAATACATTGTGACGAATTACTTAACATACAATCACATATATGCTCTTATGTTTCAGTGAATATGGAGTAATGGCCGTTGGTTCTCTTTGGAACCATGAAGCTTTAAGGGAAAACGCCAGGAAAAAGACAAAAGGCTTTTTCCTTTACCCAGAAAAAGATCATATGTACTGTTCATGTGTGTCATATTGGTTGGAAATAAGCGTATTTAACAAACTGATTTTACACATCAAAATGTTATCGTCAGGTTAAAATTCGATAAAGTTATGATTGATTAATTTTCTTCACTGATTAAAGGGTATATCACAGCAATCATCCTCAGTTGATCTTTCGATCTGTGATCGATTGCAATTGCACTTAGGCGGCAAAGATCAAACCCATTTATATATTTTTTTAACTTACAGGCAAATCCCTTCCAAAACGATAGCATGGATAAATCCTATGTTAATCTCAATTAAGGGGACATAAACGCTGTAGGGATGATGCATTGTGTGTATATTGTCAGACAGTCCGTCGCACAACCTGATTTCGTCTCGCACCTGCGGGGGAATCCTCACACGAAATACACTGTGTTTTCATAGTGCATCATCCCAACAAGTGATTTACTAATTAAAACTCCCGCGATACACAACCCTCACCCCATACCACACCCAGGGGTATCTCCCTGTACACATGTTTTCCCACCCCGGGGTCGTAAAAGTTTATCACACTCATCAACAAAGTTGAGATCAAGTAGAAAAAAACGAAAAGTGTATTCCCGTTGTTTTTCATCAACATCAAAGACGCCGCCGTTTTAAATCCTCCTGTGTCAATCACGTGATAATTGAAACAATTTGTGGTTTTATTGTACTTCCCATTGTCTCCTGTGTGAGTAAAGGCGATAGCTTCACACACTGAACTGATTAACAAGTAACGTCCTATAAAACGCCAACACTCTATTTGGTAAGCCTGTGCTTTTTTTCCACAAAGTCGTACGTCGTTTTAATAGTTCTTCAGTAAAAGATACTTTTATACAATGTTAGTTTACATTAAGCCGAACGACGCAATGTTACTGAAATACTGGTCTGAAAGGCATTAAGAAGTGATTCACATAAGGAAGAGAATATACGGATGTCAACTTCTTTATTATGAGGAACACAACGTTTCGGAGTATATGCTTACTCCTTCATCCGTTTCGGAGTATATGCTTACTCCTTCATCAGATGAATGAAGGAGTAAGCATATACTCCGAAACGTTGTGTTCCTCATAATAAAGAAGTTGACATCCTTATATTCTCTTCCTTACTGAAATACTGTTCTAAGCCGGGATAAATAAAACTCTCTCTTAAGAAAGATAAAGATGAAAAACGCCTGATAAATACTTCCTTAATTCATCGTTTGTGACATATTTCTATCAAGTAAATATTAGTACAAAATAGTTGTCCATACCCACTTTTCATTTCTACACTGCATATTAAAACAGTTTTGCCCTACGACCTTCATATTACAGCATTAATGAAAAATGACATCACATGAATATTCTTCCCAAAAACTTCATTCCTATCATAGATATACCACTGGATTCAACAACATAATTTTAAAGTTGTAGCTAATATTAGACAATTTATCTTATTGTTATATCATTATATGACAAGAAGTGCTTCAACCATCCATAGATCACCCCAGTAAGGGGATGCTAATTGATATTATGGAATCAACAAGTGATAACAATTACTGAATCTCCCCAGATCACATGACCTAACGTATTGATGATTTCCGATCGATCACATGTCAATAATTATCAGATTAAGGACCGAAGAGATGAAGTGAGAATTGGCTCAAGGAGCATCCAGCGACCGCCATTGTCATGCTCGTAATTATGAGGTTACAGTTAAGAATAAGGCACAGGATATTTGTGTTTCGGATATATATTCGACTTACCGTATTGTTATAAAGTTCTTCTGACTGATTGATTGATTTAATTACAGAATAAATCTGTTTCACTTTAAGTTTAACTACAAACCAAGAGTCCAAATATTTCTCGACTGGTTTATCTTCAAAACTGTAAATATCAGTAGTTTTCTAAACTTATTTCAGTCAATATTAACTGCCGGGCAGCGATTCTGTTTGATTGATTAATTACAGAAATATGTCTGTTTCGCATGCTTCACGTTAAGTTTGCCTTTTTTAACAACAAACAACAGCGAAAACAATTCTCGACTGATTTATCTTGAGAACTGTGACTAGTAGTAGTTTTCGAAACTTATATCAGTCGATATAAACTGCAGGGCAAAAGAAAGTAAGTACTTGAAAATTGGATTTGAAATTGTTACTCCCATGTTGCACGCCATGTGTATGTCTCCTGTTGTGAGACACTGATTGATAGGATGCAATACTGCCTATGACACCCTTAGCAAATACATCACCACCGAATAGCCAGTTGTTGTTTCATTTTTGCCATCACCAAACATGGGTGTGTACTTTCTTTGGTGCAACAGTTTATATCAAATACCGTATTCATTATATAAATAACTCTTGGGAAAGTTTGAAAGGTTCAATGTCCTCACGAAAACAATTTGTTTGTGTACAAATACTACAAGGACATTATGCTTATTCATCTCAATATAATATAACCTGTTTATACACTGCTGCGTCCTTTAAACCATGTTCTAAACGGGTGGTATTTCCATGGTATGGGCACACGCGCTATCAATCAATCAATTGATCTTTCGATCCGAGCTCGATTGCAATTGCACTTTGGCGCGGCAAAGATCAATATCATCTTTGTTAATTAATTTCATCTGCAGGCAAAATTTCTTTTGCATCTCTATTGCAGATCACCAGTGTCTTAATTCTCAATCAAGGGG